GGCAAATGGGGATCAAGGCAAACATTCGAGTGCAGTGGAGACCTTTGTTGCCTCCAGGGTGCCCTAGGTTTCTTGGGTTTCGTTAGTTTCGCTGTGGAAAGCGTGACGTGCCCACACGAAAAATGAGTCGACGCCCTTGGTCTCAGGGTTGGGCTTCTTGTGGAAGGTCTCTCTGCTGTCTTTTCGCTCCCTCCAATGGTTGCGTTGTGGGACTCTGCCTTAGGGCCTGCTCAGCTACAGTCGTGGCGCTGCCAGAAGGAAGACACCCGAGGAGCGAACGGGCGCTTCTGTCCGCGGCGGGCCTCGTGACCCCGAGTCCCCTCCCAAGCCCAGAGTCATCCGTGCGGCAGCGCCCTGGCTGTACACGAGCAACCCCTCAGAGTCCCCTCCCAAGCCCAGAGTGATCCGTGTGGCAGCGCCCTGGCTGCACACGAGCAACCTGGAGCACCAGTGCCGTGCTTCCTTCTCCACCCCGATGCGCGGGCGCGCCGTCGCCCTCCTCGCGGGCGCCGCGGCGCCCGGCCTCGTGGGCGGCTACCGCTCCGCCGCCGCCGCGGGCGGCGCCCTGGACGGGGCCGGCGAGGCGGCCGCGGGAGGCCGCGCGGCGTGCTCGGGGCACACCGAGACCACCCGGCCGGTGCACGTGCTCTACACGCGGACGGGCCTGTCCTGCGCCAACGCGGTCCTCCACCTGGCATCGCTCGGACGTGTGCGTTGTTTCTTTCTTCGGCGAGGACCATCGAGGAGCATCCTTGATCAGTTGGCGAAAGAGCCACGCACGAAACCGAACAAAAGCACGGGGAATGGACGTCCGAGCGATGGCCAGTTCACCGTGGGCGAAAGATGGGCGCCTGTGTCCGCGGCCTCGCGGGCCAGGCGCCGGGGCCGCGGCGTGCTGTCTCGCGGGCGCCCCGCGCGGAACGCGCCCAGGCGACCGCGCGTCCGCGGGACCGCGCCCGAGGATCCAGACCGCGAGGGCACCGATACTACAGTCAGGGCGCTGAAGAAGGAACCCTTCTCGTTGGGGAGGGGCTCGGTGTTCCTCGGTTGTTTTACAGTTTGGCTGGCGTTTTCCTGAGGCTTCCGACGGGAAATCGAAGCTTGACTTTTGGGATCAAGGGGCCTCGTTCCTTTTTTAAGGTTCCTTAGGTCAACGCGCCCGACTGTAGGGGAACAGAAAGTGACCTAAACATGAAACCTCGGAGGTCCGCGCGGATTTCTCGGAGGTCCGGCGCTGGGGCCCCCCCGGCGGCGCCTCCGGCGCCGCCCCATGGCGCGCTCCGTGCGCCAGGGAGGGGGGTCCGATCCGAGAAATCCGCGCAGGCCTCTGAGTTTTGATGTTTATGCCACTTTTCGTTCCCCTAGATACCGGCATGAGGGGGAAAAACACACACAGACACAATGAATCCTCGATTCCCCAAAGAAAATGTGGGAAAAGATGGGAAGTGGGGGGGGGAAGACGATCTGGGAAAATATGGGGCCCCTTCAATGGTCGCCGCTCGCGCGTGCCCGCAGGCGCCATGCCCACAGACCGAGGCGGGGAGCCGGCTCGGCCAGCTCTCGCCGATCGGGGCCTGGGCGCCCCGGCCCGCCTCGGGACGCGTGGGTGCTGGGCAGATGTTGCACCACCGCTGCCACAGGTGGCACGGGGCAGAGTCCTCCTCCTCCTCCTCCTCCTCCTCCTCCTCCTCTCCTCTTTGTTTTGTCACCTGGTCAAAATCATACTCTACTCCTCCTCCTCCTCCTCCTCCTCGTCCTCCCTCCTCCTCTCCTCCTCCCCCTCCTCCCCTTCCTCCTCCCCTTCCTCCCCTCTCCTCCTCTCCTCTCCTCCTTCGCGGACTAGCGCCACTGGAACGTCACTTTCGCGGACATCGCCAAGACGGGGTACGTGCAGCAGATCGGCGGAGTACTGGTCAAGCCAGATGTGGAGGTCACCTGCGACAAGGGGAAGGGCAGCCTGATCGACTACGGCATCGCAAGGAAGGACTTCGCGCAGAAGGTCAAGCTAGAGGCAGTCCGCACGGTGCCGTGGCGAACACATTGCGGACTGACGCTTACGCTGGAAGGTTCGGCGACGGCGTGGTGGCATCGCAAGATGCAGTTACCGAAGGAGCTGGCGACACCGCCGCGACCGAAGAAGAAGGCGGATCCGCACAGCAAAAGGACCCGCAAACGACAGGAAGAACGGCAGCGAGCAGAGGAGCGACTTGAGCCACACCTTCGGGAAGCATTTCAGGAGCAGGCCACGATCGAAGAAGCGGAGTCTGAGAAGAAGGTCAAGGACTTCTACATCACAGAGGAGACTTGGACGGAGGCGGTGGCGACGGCGAGCTTATCAGGTTCGAGCTCAACACCTTCGGCGTCCCAGATATTTCTCTTCGGGGGCAGCCAGGGCCGCACCCCACCCCCAGCCTCCAGCGCGTGGCCGCTCTTCGTGAGCGTTGAGCCGCCCGAGGTTGTCGGCCCTCCAAGCATGGAGGATAATGGGGTGCTGGCGTTCCCTGCTGCCTGGCCCGCCGCATCTCGGAGGGCCTCAAGCTGGCACTTGTCGCAGGAGCTCCAGTCTTGGGACGACAAGCTCATCATCCGAGACGCCAGGCATCGCGAGGCAGAGGCGGCAGCGACGAGGATGTACGGCGACTGGGTCACCTGTCTGGAGGAGGCGGCGATCGTGACGGATGAGATCGACGAGGAGGAGGCCGAGCACTACCGAGGGCGGGCTTCGGGCTTCGAGGTCAAGTGGGTCAAGGCGCGTTCGACACCAGGTCGCACCCACATGAAGTTAGGGCCAGCGGAGCAGTGGGGCATCCTCAACGCCATCCTCATCAGGTACCAGGCGCTGTACACCAACGGCACTGACGGCAGGCAACAGGCAAAGTGCCTGGCGGAGGCAAAGGCGCAGGGCAGGGTCTTGCAGCAGATGGATCAGAGCCAGGTCTTCGGCAGGAAGATCGGCGCAGCACAGCAGCAGATGTTCTACGAGATGCTGGGCGACTTGGCGGACTGGAAGAGGGGCAGCTCGGCAACTTAGTCATGCACGCAGAGGGCCACCTCGCCACCGCGCAGTCGCGTGGCTTTACGGCGCAGCAGAAGAACTTCACGGCGTGGGCCAAGAAGGCATGGGCAGGCAAAGTTGGCCTCCTCCATCGGCATGTGAAGGAGCAGCAGGCGCCGAGGTTCGAGCTGTGCACGGAGGAGATGGAGGGCATCGCGGACCCAGACGCCCTCATTGGCATCAGGAAGCACGAGTGGGAGCGCATATGGACGGACCCAGTCGATACGAAGGAGGACATCGCGTACCAGCTGGGCAGGCTCCGCGATCAGTCCTGGGAGCACGTGCTGGAGCCCCTCACGCTGGAGCAGCTCGACGGGGCCATCGCCGCGTCGTCGTCGGCCAAAGCAAAAGGAGTTGATCACCTTGGTCCGCACGATCTGGCTCGGGCCCCCAGACATGCAAGAATATGGTTACTTCACATCTTACAGTATTGCGAGCAGGAGGTCACATGGCCGAGGCAATGGGCAGCCACCAAGTGCGCGCTGGCGGCCAAGCCCAAAGGAGGAGATCGAGTACTCGGAATGCTGGCCCTTCCCATCAAGCTCTGGTCAAGGGCTCGGGGAGGTTGCTGCTCAGAATGGAATGATTCGGTATCGGCCCATTGGGACACAGCCCTCAAAGGCAGCTCAGCCCTCCGTGCGGGGCTCCTCAGGGCGTGCCTGGACGAAGTGGGGGCAGAGCTCGGGGCATCGGCGATGACGCTACTGTTGGACATCGAGAAGTTCTACGACACGGTCTCGCTCGTCATCCTGTCCCAGATCGCCCTCAGAGTGGACTTTCCCGCAGTGGTGGTGGCGTTAGAGATCACCGCTTTCGTGGGGCCGAGGTACCTGCAGGAGCGTAACATCCTCAGCGAGGCGATCTGGTCCACGAGGTCTTTGGTAGCAGGCTCTGCCAGAGGCGTGGGGTTGGCGAAGCTGTTCTTGCACCCGATATTAGAGAGGGCGCATCGGAGGGCGCCACAAGCTGCGCTGTGGACATTCGTGGATGACACGGTTGCGAGGCAAGAAGGTAGCAGGCAAACAGTCGGCGATGGCATCATCCAGGTCACGGAGATCATCACGGACGGACTCAAGGATCAGAGGATGAAGATCTCCAGCAAGTCTGTCCTGATAGGCACCCACCCGAAGGACGTGAAGCGGACGGCCAAGTCCATGAGGAAGAGGCAGATCCCCGTCTACGCAGTCACGGAGGCAGTGGACCTAGGCCTGGACACGTCGGCTGGGAGGAAAAGGGTTACGACGAAAGCGAAGCAGCGAGCAAAGCGGGCGAAGCACAGGTTCGCCAAGATTGTGAGGCTGCGACGTACTGCGGCCCTGGCCAAAGAGAGCAAAGGTTTATGGAAGGAGGGAGCAGTACCACAGGCAGTGTACGGCCACCAAGCCTTCGGGTTCGCAGTTCATGAGCTTCAACGGCTACGACGACAAGCTGGACAGGTGGCAGGAGGTAAGGCGCGTGGGCGATGCTTGACGACGACACTGGCGGTCGAGCTGTGGAAGGGCGACCCAGGGGTGGCAATGCGAGTTGCCGTGGTCAAGGAGTGGATCAACCTGTGGCAGCGCCACCCCGAGAACCACGCCAGGATCGTCAAGGCATGGCCGCGGATATTCGACCGTCTGTCAAAGCTTGGGCCAAAACGATGGAGAGGAGTTCGCGGACCAGTCGGAGCGGTGCAGGCGACCATCATGGACGTGGGCTGGTACGCACCAACGGCTACGGTGTGGATGCGACCAGTCGGAGCAGATGAGGATCCAGCAGAACAGTGGGACATCCCGTCCGTCACGGACGGCACTTTCGACAACACGGGGTGCTTCCAGCAGCTGGTAGACGACTTCGAGGACGACATCGTAGCTCAATACTGGAAGGCTGCTGCAGCACACCCACATGGTGAAGGTTTGGAGGATGGAGCGGACGTCTGGCAGATCCGCGCGGAGCAGCGAAGGTTCGAGAAGCAGGGGCAGCTGGACATGGTCGGGGCCAACATCACCGTGGTCGCGGGAGGACAGTGGCCGAAGCAGCGATCTGTCGACCAAGGATACCTCCTGGACTGTAAGAAGTGCGACAGGTGCAAGGAGGAGGACGAGACCCTGATGCATCGGATCTGGCTATGCCCCAAGAACGTGGACCACGAGGACTTCACCAAGTCGGCGGACCTGCTGCCGGCTGCGATGGCGCAGGCAGAAGCTGAGCCTGCGCTGTGGCTTCGAGGATTGCCGCCAGCCTCTCTCACGCACCCTAGGTTTAATGATGAACTGTTAGAGGGGAGGGAGGTTCGGTTTGGTGAGCTGGGGGACTGGGGGGAGTGTCAGCACGAAGGTGAGATCCACATTTTCGGCGACGGCTCAGGAGGCAAGCACTCCTCGGACCCTCGCAGACGCCGCTGTGGATCAGCGATTGTAGCATTGCAGGAGCGAGACGGGGAGTGGATTGTGGGCAGAGCTGTAGCAATCCCACTCCTCGGTCGCAGGCAAACGGTCCCCCGCTCGGAGATTTTAGCGTTCGCTTTGGCACTCGAGGAGTGCCACGCAGATTTTAGTTTCATTACCGACCATAGGACGATCGCGAAGACCTGGAAATACCGCCTGGAGCACCCGAAAGCCACGGGTCCCAATGAGGACCTTTGGGCCCGAGCCAGAGTGGCCTGGCAGACTTACCCAGACAGAGTTGTGAAGGTAGTGTGGACGGCGTCCCATCTGGACGAGACGCCAGAGCTGCTTGAATCGCCGCAGCAGCTTTTCATGGCAGCTGGGAATTTAGCTGCGGATGTCTGGGCGGGAGTCGGGGCGGAGCTGGCTTGGGAGTTCGGGCTGGTGGGGAGCGTTCCAGAGACTGATAAGATAGATGCGATCGCACATCTCGTGCGCAAGAGAGCGCGCAGATCTTTGCTACTTGCCGCTGCGTCGGAGACGTCAGAGCGTGCAGGTAGAGCCCCAGCCAGTAAGAGACTTTTAAAGCAGGAGAGATTGATTCGAGATTCTCCCCACCAGCTAGAGCGAGTAGGAAGCAAATGGAGGTGCTCTCAGTGCGATGTGATTGTGACTGGAGCCAGGTTTTTGCGTTTTTCGGTCTCCCCGTGTGCTGGGCCCCCTGGTAAAAGCAGGTCGGAGGTCCCAGAGTTCCAGCCGTTTAAAGGAGTGGACCTTGAGATCCACGATTCCCACACGATCACCAGGGTTGACCGCTGGTTCTTGCAGATTTGTTCGGTTTGCGGTATGTATGCGACAGTGGACTCGAGGTCCTTGCGTCAGAAGTGTAGAGGTCTCACACCGAACGGTGCAGAGAATATCCGTCGAATTGAATTAGGTCTTTTCCCTCGGCGTGAGGGGCCCCCCAGAGCCATCAAGATGGCCATAGCTCGCAGAGATGAGAGTCGTGTCGTGTCGGCCCACGAGGCCTGGGGGTCGCAGGAGAACAGCGAGCTTGGGGGGGGCCCCGCCGAGCCTCCCGCGGTGACCCGCGCCCGCAACGACGGGCACGAGCGGGAGCAGCTGCGTTGTGCTGCCAACGAGTCGCGCTTGCAGGCTAAGGTTCAGAGATTGTTGGCTGCTGCGAGAGGCGCGGCTGAGCAAGTGCGGGCGCCGCGGGAGGATTCAGAGTCTTCCGATTGACGGCAGATGTCCGTAAGCCAGGACGAAGACTGAGGGACAGAGGTCCGAGAGCAAAGAGGTCCAAAGAGGTCCTCCTCCTCCTCCTCCTCCTCCTCCTTCTCCTCCTCCTCCTCCTCCTCCTCCCCCTCCCTGTCCTACCGGTGGTAGTGGTGGTGGAAAGTCGGCCCATCAGTGGGGGTTCTCCGTCGGGGGCCCGTCGGCAATGCATCGCTGGTGACAAGCCTCTGCCTCCCCCTCGCTTGGGAGCGTCCCCAGAGGGTGGTGACCAGGGGGACGTGATGCGGAATGGTGGCCACGGTCCCCCCCCAGACTCCAGAGGCTTACACCATACTCGGCGGCGAGCGAGTGGGGCAAGTTAGAAGGAGAAGGCCTTCTCAGAAGGCTCGGAAGTCCCCCGACCTTCTGAGAAGTTTTCTGAGCCTTCCCCGAAGACGCAGAAAACTTCTCAGAAGGCGCGAGGGCTCCTGAGACGTTCTGCCGCCTTCTGAGAAGGCCTTCTCCTTCTCATTTCCCCCTCTTGCTCGCCGCCGACATACCCAGAAGAGGGATGAAGTCCACGGTGGAGGCACTCTGGGGCCTGTGGGGGGCCCTTTGTGGGCCTCTTTTGGGCCTCTTGGGGGTCTCATTCGGGCCGATTGCTGGCGACCTCGGGGGTCCTCTTGGGGCTCTGTTGGAGCGCCTGCTGGCGATCTCGGGGGGTCCTCTTGGGGCGGAGTGCTTAGAATGTCTGTTCGAGTTACCTCCCTTGGGCCCCTCCTTGGGCCCTGTTGGGGCTCTCCCTGTTAGGGCTCTCTTGGGCCTTCTTGGCCCGTCTTAGGACCCTCTTCGGCCGTCTTGGGGCTCGCTTGGGGGGCTTCTTTGGCCGTCTTGGAGGGGTCACCGGTGCCGCTTGAGCCGTCTTGGACATTGTCGAGACCGAAAATGCAAACATGTTCAAAGTTTTCGTTTTCCTCATGGATTTTGATGATTGTTTACTATTGGGGCGGGGTGCCTTTGAGGCCTCTTGGGCAGTTTTGGGACCCCGGGTGAGCTTTAGGAGCTGGGCCCCGCCCCCCCTGCCCCCCTCTGATTGGATTTCAGGCCCCAGGGGAGGGAGAGAGTTGGAGGGGGCAGCCAATCACCTCACACTCCTTTGCACCCCCGGCAAGCGGGGGTCAGCAAAGTGCATGGCCACATTGTCTTCTTGCAACACGCCCCCACGCTCCGCTTCCACCCCCCCCTAGACCGCGCACATGCCTCGAGCCGTGATGCGCCCCGCCCCCTTAGTCATGGCTCTCCCCCTCGCTAACTGGCGCAGCCGACCTTGCGCCCCACCCAGAACTCCGAGGTAGTTTTTTGGGGTCTGAGGCCCGCTGAGGCCTCACAGAGGCCAACCACGGTAAACAAGCTCCCGTCGTGGTTGTGCACGACGAGAAAAAGGTGGAGCCCCTTCAGGTCTCCTCGCTGGCGCCATCGACATGGTCGCCCTTCCAGGCGAGCGTCAGCATGGACGACCCGCTGCTCACCACCGCAGGCGCCAACGAGTCCCTCCGCCTCGCGCCGGAGGTGGAGCGCGGACCTTCGAATGTTGATGCTTATTTTCGGACCCCATCGTAAGGATGAGTAGCTTTTCATTCGTACCCTTGCATCGTTCCCTCTCGGACAATGTATTCAGCCCTCAGCCCATCGCCGAGGCGGGGAATTTTCCATAGCCGCCGCCTGCGGGAGGAGCTTGCGGGGCCTCGGTGGGCGATGGATATGGATATCCAACTGCCTGCGGCAAGTCAAGCAATAATGCCAGCCCAGCTCTCTCGGTGGTCTGTCGTTGGCACGTCTTAGGGGTTTCTGGGAGGAAGGTGCTTGACTCCGTCACGTCTGACACCTCGGCTGCCTTGGGGTGTTGGTTCGTGTTCGAAGTCTGTGGGACCGTTAGGGGCGATGGCGGCGATGCTGATGTTGATGACGTTGCTGGTGGTGATTATGGAGCCGACAAAGGTGCTGCTAATGATGCGGATGCAGATGCGGATGCTGATGTTGATAAGTAGGATGACGGTGCTGTTGCTAATGACGATGATGGTGGGGATGATTACGATGAGGCCAAGGATGGCGATTGGGCTCAAGATGGTGACGATGATGTTGGTGGTGAGGGCGAGGACGATGTCGAAGATGTTGGTGGTGAGTATTGATGATGGTGATGATGAGACTGATGATGATGATGATGATGATGATGAGGATGATGATGCCAGTGATGATGATGATAATACTGATGATGATGACGATTATGATGATCATAACGATGCCGATGGCAATGATGAGGATTACACTGATTGTGGTGATGGTGGTGGCGATGATACCGGCCATGGCAATAAATGATGGTGATGACGTTGATGATGATGACGACGGGGATGACATCGACGATGATGTTGTTGATGACGATGTTGAAGTTGTCGATGAGTATGATGATGATGATGATGATGACAACGATGCTTACGATCAAGATGGTGATCAAGGTGTTGTTAATGATGATGCTGATGATGCTGATGATGCTGATGTTAGTGACACAAGTGACGATGATGATGATGCTGCTGCTGCTGCTGATGATGATGATGATGATGATGATGGTGGTGATGACGGTGATGGTGATGATGGCGTTAGTGATGATGTTGTTGTTGATGTTCTTGCTTCTGATGTTGATGCTGAACTTGATGACGATGCTAATGGCGATGGTGATGACTATGATTATGGTGTTTGTGCTGGTGGTGCTGATAATTATGATGCCAATGATTGTGATGCCACTGATGATGATGATAGTGATGATGATGACGATGCTGATGCTGTTGCTGTTGCTGATGCCGCTACCGATACTGATAATGCTGATGTTGATGATGATGATTATGCTGATGATGATGATGATGATGATGATGATGATGATGCTGATGATGCGGTTGGTTAATATTGTGATTGTGATGATGATGCTGACGATGATGGCGATGCTGATGCTGATGCAGACGATCATGATGGTGATGTTGATGATGATGATGCTGATGTTGCTGCTGTTGTTGCTGCTGATGGTGTTTATGATCACGATAATGCTGGTGGTGATACTGGTGTACGTTAGACTGTTGATGACGATGATGTTGATGATGCTGATGATGATGCATATGATAATGCTGATGCTGATGCTGATATTGCTTGAGGTGGCGATGACGGTGGCACTGATGACGGTGATTATGCTGATGTAGATGGTTATACTGATGAGGCTGATGACGTTTGCGATGATGTTGCTGATGGTGATGATGATGTTGATGCTAGTGATGACGAGTATGCTGATTATGGTGCCGATAGTGATGATGCTGATGAATATGAGGATGATGATGTCGATGATGTTGTTAATGATGTTGAGGATACTCATGATGATGCTGATGCTGATGATGCTGCTCATGCTGACGCGGGGAGGAGGCGGAGGAGGAGGAGGAGGAGGACGAGGAGGACGAGGAGGACGGGGAGGAGGTGGAAGAGGAGTAGTGGGAGGAGGAGGTGGAGGAGGAGGAGGAGGAGGAGCACTGTTACATGTGTCACCTGTGGTCTTCACTTCGTGAGGATTCCTCATGGACCTCAGTTGGGCAGTCTTGGGGCATCTGTTGGGCCTCTAGGTAGCCGCTTTGGAGCCTTTTTGGGGGGCTCGGTTGGGACTCTTGGGCCCCCCCTGGGGGGTGGGCCTCTTGGGGCGGAAGGCTCGACTTGACGGTTCAAGCACAATAACTGCGTGTCGCCCCTTTGGGTCCTCTTGGGCGCAGCTCTCGGGCGCAGCATTTGGACCGCTCGGGGCCTGCTGAGGGCCTCTTGGGACGGACGACTCGGACTCTTGGTTCGTGTTCTCCCCCCTTGGGGTCATCTTGTGACACCCTTGTGCAGTCAGTTTTGAGAGCCCTCTTGGAGCGCCTCGTACCCCTCTTGCGGACCTCGTGAGCCGCCTTGGAGCGTCAGAAGCTCGATGATGCGAGAACCCAACAACGTACGTACCACTCCGCAGTTTGGGATAATAATGAGTGGGCTGCGAGGACGTCCTTGGTCTGCGAGGCTCTGGAGAAGCACGCCGCAGGCGCCCAACTTTTACAACTTATGCATTGAGCCCGCCGCAGGCGCGGATTTTTTTCGCTAAATCATTGTGGGTGGATCGCGGGGTGGGTCGCGGGCTGGGTCGCGGGCTGGGTCGCGGGCCGGGTCGCGGGTGGGTCGCGCATGGGTGGGTCGCGTTGTGGGTCGCGGGCTGGGTCGCGGGCTGGGTCGTGGGTGGGTCGCGGGGTGGGTCGCGGGGGTGGGTCGCGGGTGGGTCGCGGGGTGGGTCGCGGGGTGCGTCGCGGGGTGCGTCGCGGGGTGCGTCGCAGGGGGGGACGACGACAACAAACAACAACAACAACAACAACAACAACAACAACAACAACAACAACAACAACACCATCAACAACAACAACATTAACAACAACAACACTAACAACAACAACAACACCAACAACAACAACAACAACAACAGCAACAACAACAACACCAACAACAACAACAACAACAACGCAACAAGAGAATCCTCACCACGGATCCCCACTAGAGCCACGCACCCAGGGACAATGAATGACCGTTCGGACCCCTCACTCTGACAACCCTGTTCAGGGAACTTGCTGCTTTTTTCCTCTCGGGGGCCTCCTGGGACCTATTGAGGGCGGACGCCTCGAATGCTCGGATCGTGTGGCCCCCGTGGGCGTGTCTTGAGGGCGTCTTGCTGTTTTTCCCAGACAGTCTGTGGCACCTCTTGGGCCATCTTGGAGCCCACTTGGGCAGTTTTGACACGTTCTTGGGGCATATTGGGCCGTGTTGGGGCAGTCTTCGGAGCCTCTTGCGTTGCCGTTAAGCTCGAAGATGCGACATTTTCCAAAACATGGACAAACTTACGGAACATCGGTACATCAATGCTAGCTGTTTCTCGAGGCTTTCTTGGGAAGGCCTTTGTGGCTCTTTGGGGATTCCTGAAGGGCCTCTTGGGCAGTCGTGAGGCCATCTTTGGACGTGTTGAGGCCAATGTGGGCCGTCTTGGAGGCAGATTGGGCCGCTTGGGAGGCATCTTGGCCTCGTGAGGGCGAATCCGTTGTGTCGCCTCGGAGGAGGGGCCGATGCGCGCGGGCCAGCATGACGAGACTGGTGGTGGTGGCCCCTAACAGATTACAGAGACCCTACCAGGCAGCAGTTAGTACTCCAGCACGCAGCACGCCTCACCGCGCCAGGGGGCATGGCGGCGGATATTCGGGCACCGAGGGACCAAATATAGCCAGACTCACCGTCTGTAGAGGCCTTCGAAGCTCTCTTCCAGAGGCGGTGGTCATGGATAGTATCATCCGGCTTTGCACCATCGCCATGGGCCACATGAGTGTTCAGCCTCGGCCTCATTTTGGGCTTCCAGGGGCCTCACCACCGCGGGCGCCACTCTGGCAAGGCTTCGAGCTGCCCAGCCCCATCATTTGGTCCCAGCTGTTCTCAACAGGCCCCCCGAGTGATTTCAGCTGGCCTCAACATACCCCCCGGGAAGCCCGGGGTACTGTCAACACCTCAGCCCAGGGACGCCGCCCGAGGCGGCGCCAGGCTACTCGGGTGACCTGTTGATGCCAGCTGGGACTACTCGGGGTGCTGGTTGAGGCCAGCTGGGACTGCATGAGGGGGCCTGTGAAGGCCAGCTGGGGCCACGTGGGGGGAGGGGGAGGGGGCAGCTGTGCGCAGCCCGAAGCCTTCCCACATTGGCGCCCGCGGTGGTGAGGCTCCTGGGCAGAGGGCGGCCGACACCCCAAACCCGTGCGATTTCACGATATCACCACCGCCTCGGGGACTCGAGGAGCTTCGGGGGCCCCGGCGTCTGGGGAACTCACCGTCCACGACCCCCGGCGATGCGGCGCGGTCGTGCGACCCCATCTGCTCGGACCCCAGTGGGGAGGCCCCGAGGGGCTCCCCTCCGCCCCGCGCGCGGGAGGTGGAGCGCGGGCTGCGGGAGCTGAACCTCACGCTGGACGCGGTGCTCGCCTCGTCGCTGGGCAGGGCGGTGCAGACCGCCCTGCTGCAGTTCGGGGGCCGCGAGGTCGGCGGAGGGAGGCGGGGGAGGAGGAGGGTCCGGATCTCCCCAGCTGCCGAGAGAGAGTCCGCGCCCCGGAGCTTGCCGAGCCGTGGCGGCCCTTTGGCGGCTGTCGGCGTGATGCTGACGAGCTTGGGTCCGCGGGCCACGCGACAGGAGGAGCAGGAGGCTGAGGAGGAGGAGGGGCGCCGCCTGTGAGCTGCCACGCCCCAAGTCGCTAGCCCACTGGCCTCACCACAGCTCTGACTTGGGAGGGCAGGGTGGATGGCGTAGAGTCGGGCCTGGGGAGGGGATCGCCGGTGGAACGACAAGTGGCGGGCTGGAGGCCCCCCAAAATATGTTCAGCACCCTTCCGGCCACGATTTCACTGGGGTCTGGCTGGTGGACGGAGTATTTGAACCTCCCGACGCCCTACACAACATCACCGCCGCCGCCGTACGAAAATGAGGAGTGGTGGAGCAGGAGGCGCTGGGTGGGGGGGGCCAGTCTCCCCGCCCCCCTGTGGGCTCCTCCGTTCGGGCGTTGTCCTTTCGTTGTTCACTCGCGCGGTGCTGCTTAGTTTGATCAGCCCCTCCCCCCTCCCGCAGGGGCGTTCGCCCAGTGGGGGGCGACCCCCCCAATATTATCGCCCCAACAGTGGGCGACGACCACCGGATGCATCGACGATGCGGCGCGATCTTCCGACCCCACCTGTTCGGTTCCTATTTAGGACCGGCGGCGAGCGAGGAGGGAAGTGAAAAGGAGCGGGCTTTCTCAGAATGCTCGGCAGCCACCTGGCCTTCCGAGAAGAGTTTTGAGACTTCCCGAAACATACACGACAGCAACAACAGCAACAACAGCCAGTTTCACAATCCGCGAGGGCCTCTTAGAAGTCCTGCCCTGCGGCCTTCTCAGAAGGCATTTTCCTTCGCAGTCCCCTCCCTCGCTTGCTGCCGATAGGAGGCCTCTAAAGAGGAGGCCGGGCGAGCGGGCGAGGTCTGGTCGGTGCCTTTCGCCGTCGGCAAGTCCGCGTACGGCGCTGGCGGCCCGCACTTCGGGGAGCGGGTTGCGCAGATCGAGGCGGAGCTCCAGGGGGGAGGCTTCGGCGTCCACACCAGGCCGCCCTTCGGCTAGGAGGGGGGACGCGACGACGAACCGCGTCCGACGACCGACGCCGACGACGACAGCCGACGACGCCGACGACGCCGACGCCGACGACGACGACGACGACGTCGACGGTGGCGACGACGACGACGACGACGACGCCGACGACAACCGACAACCGACGACTGACGACCGACGATGACGACGAAAACGACGACGACGCCGACGACAACCGACGACCGACGACCGACGACGACGACGACGACGACGACGACGAAAGCGACGAAAACGACGACCGACAACCGACGACGACTACAACCGACGACGACCGACGACGACCGACGACGACGACGAGAACAACAAGAACGACGACAACCGACCACGACAACAGACGACGACGACAGCCGACGACTGACGACCGACGACCAACGACGACGGACGATGACAACGACGATAACCGACTACAAGGACAACGACGACGACGACGACGTCGGCTACGGCGGCCAAGACGACGACGGACGGCGACGACGACTACGGACGGCAACGACAAGCGATGACCGACGACTGAGTACCGACGACGACGACGACCGACGACGACGACGACGACGACGACGACGACGACGGCGGCGGCGGCGACGACGACGACGGACGGGAAGAGGGAGGGGTAGAGGGGAGGAGGAGGGCAAGGAATCGGCAGATGTTGATAATTGCAGCGGACTTGCGCGCAGGAGGACTGGGGTGGAGGGCGGCGTGCGTAAGAGGGGGGTCAACGAGGAGTCGGGCAATGAGTCAGCGGAGGAAGAGGATGGGAACGGAACTGCGCGCAGGAGGAAAGGGGAGGGCGGCGTGGGCAGGAGGCAGGGGGGGCGATGGGGGGGAGGGGGGAGGAGGAGGAGGAGGGCAATGAGTCATTAGAAGAAGAGAATAGGAAGGGGAGGAACTGTACGCAGGAGAAGTGGGGGTGTCGGCTTGGGTAGGACGGGGTGGGGAGGCGTGGGGGGGGAGGAGAGGGAAGGAAGAGGGCAAGGGGAGTCAGTGGAGGAGGAGGAGAATTGGTGCGGAGATGCGCTCAGGAGGAATGGGGGGGGGGTCGGTCGGCGTGGGCACGGGGGGGGGGGGGGGAGGGAGGAGGGAGGAGGACAGCAACTCTGGAGCGCGGGAGG